ATTAAATGAGGCCCGGCTGGTATGGCTCACTGGTTGAGTGTCGACCCATGCACCAAGAGGTCACCGGTTCAATTCCCAGTCAGGGCACATGCCCAGGTTGTGGGCCTGATCCCCAGTGAGGGCGTGCAGGAGGCAGCCAATTGATGTTCTCTCTCATCAATGTTTCTATCTCTCTTTCCTTTTCCCTTCCTCTCTCTCTAAAAATCAATAAAGAAAAAAAAATTTTTTTTAACAAAACAAAGAATGGCTAGTGGTTTCAGGGAGAGGCTCAGGCAAGAGTCAGACACCAGGGAAATGCAGAGGAGCCCCTCAAAGGCCTCTGGGCTCCAAAAGGCTCCTAGTTGTGTGCAGAGATACTTGCCCAGCTCAGCCCAGCATGAGGGCTGGCCAGCCTGTGGAGGTTGCTCAGGTGGTCACCCATCTTCTTGATGAGTTTCACCCCTTCATTCAGGAAGTGAGAGAGAGGAGAGTCTGCCTGGGTAGAACCCAGATCCAAAAGGGCCTGGTTCACATTCTTCTCCAAAGCCATGGCAGCTTCCATGGTATTCTGAGTTTTGCCCCACTTATCTTGGAAAGGCTTCAACACATCCTGGAAGAGAATTCAGCTACTACACTGGTTTTGCATCTTTCTGAGATGCTCCAGCCTGCCAATTTTGCTCAGCGGTTAGAGCACTGGCCCAAGGAAGGGCCTCAGGTTCGATTCTCAGTCAAGGGCACGTACTGGGGTTGCAAATACAATCCCCAGCCCCGGTCAGGGTCATGCAGAAGGCAATCAATCAATGTGTCTCTCACATCGATGTCTCTCTCTCTCTCTCTTTCTCTCTCTCCGTTCATCCCTCCTTCCACTCTATCTAAAACTCAGTGGAAAAATATCCTTGGGTGAGGATTAACAAAAAAGAGAGAGAAAGATGCTCAGCACCCTGCGCTTGTTCTCTGCCAACTCCCAGAATAAGTGGCCCATGCCCTCCAGAGCCACATCACTGAGGTCAAAATAGAAGCCCAGAGAGAAGCAGGTGCAGGAGGCCGGCAGATGCAGGTTGGCCAAACAGCTGAAAACAACCTCGGTGGAATAATTCTGATTAATTTGGGAGCTTGTGGTTGTTCAGCAATAAAGAGTTAAGGTTGAAAAATGGTGTTGGCTGATCTCAGAGACTGAGAATGGCTGAAGTGGTTCCGAAGGTGGCAAACAGAAAACAGGTTGGAGGGTACTTGCAGGTTGGAAGACGGGATGTCCCTGGGTCCGTTCCATCCAAACACTGTCGAAGCAGGAGAAAAGATCTGGGAGACTACCGAGGGCACTGCCTGGTATACATTCTGCTCAATAAACGTTATTGTTACTATTAATATAGCACTCTAGAGGCACATGATGTCTTCCTCCCGTATCCAGGATGACTTATTCTTCACTCTTTTAGTATCATGAACACTTTAAATCTACCTTTTTACAGTACTTAATTCATTTTGTTGACTCCTCTATGTAGATTCCTTAAAGATAGCAACTAAAATAGAGAATGTACACAGTTGGCCTCAGTGAAAGTTTACTATGTAGTCGTAAAGAACAAAGTGGGTTAAATGCGGATGTGGGAAAAGAAAGAAACCTTATATAAAAAAGCAATCTCCCCTGTGGAACACTCAAACCACATTACATCAAGGTTTCTATGAAACATCTTCATAATAATGCACTTCACATATTCAAAATATTTTTATATATTAACATTACCAGCAATGGGTCATATTCTTCCTGATAAGATGCACTAAGATACCATTTCCCTTCTGTGGCATTCCTGCCAGAAATGCATAACCTGAACTTTACCAAGAAAAAGAACATCAGAAACCCAAACTGAAAGACATTTTACAAAATAAATGGCCTGAACTCTTGAAAAATTTTGAAATCATAAAAGATAAAGACTGAAAAACTGTTCCAAATTACAGTATGCCAAAGAGACATAAGAATTAAATGTAACAAGTGATCATGGATAGGATCCTGAACAAATCTGCTATAAAAGACATTAGTGAAACAACTGGCAAAACTAAGACTTTAGATTAAACTATAATACTCTATCAACGTTAATTTCCTAATTTTGATCATGGCAATTATATAAGAGAATTTCATTGCTTTTGGGAAGTTCACACTGAAGTATTCAAGGGTGTAAGAAGAATTATGTCTACAGTTTAATCTCAAAGGGTTAAATATTATTTGGACAAATAGTATAGAGCAAAATAAAATAAAGTAAAAATAGAAAAAAACAAAATTTGGGTGAAAGGTATCTAATAATCTTTTGCACTGTTATTGAACATTTCCGTAAATCTGAAATTATTTGAAAACAAAATGTCTAAACACAAAATTAATGAGAAAAAAGGAGGGCAAATAATCACACGAAAAGATGTTCAACATCATTAGAAATCAGGAAAAATGCAAATTAAAAACATAATGAGATACCACTAAGTTAAATCCCTATTAAAATAGCTAAAATATAAAAGCAAAATAGAAAAATACGTCCATACCAAATGTTGGTGAAAATGTGAGGCAACTGAAACTCTCAAACATTACCAGAGGGAATACACAATGGAAGTCACTTTATAAGAAATTCCCAAATTGTTTTCCAAAGTTAAACATACACTTACCACCTGACCCAACAATCCTAAGTATTAATCCAAGAGAAATTAAAACGTATATTCAAACAAAACCTGTATTCAAATGTTTGTATCAATTTATTCATAATCACCAAACACTGAAAACAATTCAAATGTCTATCACCTAGTAAAATAGATAAGCTGCAGTACATTCATATAATGGAATACAACTTAGCAGAAAGAAAGAAATCAGTGACATATGCAACAAGGTGAGTCTCAAAAGCATTATGCTAAGTGAAAGAAGTTAGTCTGGAAGATTACATATTGTACTATTCCACATATATTCATAACATTTTGCAAAAAAGCAAACTACAGGGATGAAAACAGATCAGTGGCTGTCAAGGATAAAGTGGGGCAGGAAAGGTTGCTTAAAAATAGGAAGCACAATAGAATTTGAGGAGATGATGGCATTGTTCTGTGTCTTCATTGTTGTTGCCATTACACAATCTTATGCATACATCAAAACCACAGAACTGTCCACTAAAAAGAATAAAGTTGATTATACATAAATTTTAAGAGTCTATTATTTTTAAGTTAACAAGGTAAAAATGTACTTTCATAGACATCGCATTTTCTTTTCAGCCCAATAAAGACTAGCTATGGCCTGGCCAGTGTGGCTCAGTGGACTGAGCGTTGATTCACGCACTAAGAGGTCACTGGTTCAATTCCCAGTCAGGGCACATGCCAGGGTTGAAGGCTCAATCAACCAGTAGGGGGTGTGCAGCACATTGATGTTTCTCTCTCTTTCTCCCTCTCCCTTCCTCTCTCTCTAAAAAAAATGTTTTAAAAAATCAATAAAAACATATTTTTAAAAAATACTAGGTATGTACTATTTCAGCATTCAGTAAATAAATAAACATACAAATTACATGTGGCAGGACTAAAACTAGTCCAGATACACCGATTCTAAGCAAATGTTTTATTGTCTTAATTTTTTTCATGTTCCACTAAAGTTTAGAGGACACAGTGTCTCTGAAGACAAATAGGATCGAAGAGAGGGAGAGGAATAAAAAGAGACAGGTATTGGAAGTGTGTCCTTTAGAATTTGGCTTTTGTCCTTAAGGAATTAAAAAATAGTTCATAATTGCCCAGCTGGTATGGCTCAGTGGTTGAGCACTGACCCACGCACCAAGAGGTTGCCAGTTCAATTCCCAGCCAGGGCACATGCCCAGATTGCAGGCTTGATCTCCGGGGCAGGGATGTACAGGAGACAGATGATCGGTGTATCTCTCTCATTGATGTTTCTCTCTCTCTCTCCCTCTCCCTTCCTCTCTCTCTAAAAATCAATAAAAATATTTTTTAAAATATAATAAATAAAATTAAAATTAAAAACAGTCTATAATTGAATAAGTCTGAATAGTGATCCACACAGGCAACAAATTAACTGGCATTAAAGGATTAGCTGGTGATTTTTTCCATAAAATCTTCCTAATATCTTAATAAGAAAAAGCAAAAAAGCAAACATAAAATATTCTACCTAGTTTTCAGAACAATGATGATGACAATTCAGAACAGATTTTACAACTTTAAATATACATTTGAAGATATTCCCAGATGCTATCACTCAAGGGTGAAAAACAAGGGGGAGAGGGTGGCCGTTAAAAATACCTTTTTGTTGTTGTTAATCCTCACTGAGGATATTTTTCCATTGATTTTTAGATAGAGTGGAAGGAGGGAGGGAGGAAAAGGGGAGAAAGGAGGAGGGGGGAGAGAGAGAGAAAGAGAGAGAGAGAGAGAGAAACATCAATGTGAGAGACACATCGAGTGGTTGCCTCCTGCACAACCCTAACCAGGGTTGGAAATCAAAACTGCAACCTAGGTACATGCTCTTGAGCAGGAATTGAACCCAAGACCCTCCAGTCCAGGGGTTAACATTCTAACCACTAAGCCAAACTGGCCAGGGCTAAAAATACCTTTTTGATTTCTGAATCAAAGAAGTAGCAGTATAATACTTGCCAAAGAACATATATTAGGTACAATAGCCTAGAGGTGGAAGGGGGGAGATTACGCTTAATTTCATTAGCAAAAATAAATTAAAAATAATAAGTTGCACCCTGGCCAGTTTTCTCAGTGGTTAGAGCATCAGCTCACAGACCAAGGAACTGCGGGTTCAATTCTGGCCAAGGGCATGTTTCTCAGTTGGGGTTCGTCCCCAGCCCTCGTCGGGTCATGCAGGAGGCAGTCGATGTTCCTCTCATGTCTATATTTCTCACTCTCTTCCTCACTCTCTTCCTCTCACTCTCTCTACCTCCCTCCCACTCTATCTGATGATAAATAAATAAAATATCCTTGGGTGAAGATTAAAAAATAATAATAACAATAAATTAAAAATAAAAAGTTGCATCTGTACCACAAATAACATATCTCACCTAAAAAGAGAGGTGTGGTTTCCTCTAAAGTAGTGGCATTAGGATCTGCCCCAGCTTCTAAAAGAATCTGTACAATCTTCCAATGTCCTCGACGTGCAGCAAAATGTAATGCAGAGAAGCCCTCAAAAGTCTTTGTCCTAATGTAGTTTTCAGATGAATCTATGAAAGAATAAAAACCCATCAGCTAGAAGATATTAATTCTATTTCTTGGAATTAAAAAGCAAAGATTCCAAGAAATATTAAAACAATTATAAATGGGAGGTCTTGTAGTTTAAAACTCCCTAAAAAAAATTTTTTTAAGTTCCAAAGGGGTCAGTGTGAACAGCTCTCTGGTATTCTTATATGAAACTTCTGCCCACACACTCATTTTCTCACCTCTGATTTTTGATGAGTAAAGCAAGGGGAGTAGCAGGAGTTGAAAGGCAACACAAAAGCAAAATCTGAAGAGAATACAGCACCAAAAATTTGCTTAAGCAAGATTTACTAAAGTATTAGTAAATGTGATTTTTTTATATCTAAATTTCCATGACAGAAATTATCTCATCTCTAGCATTACTTCCTTGCTTTTCTACTAGTAACATTAAGGTAATATTCCACTTTTGGCCATTTATCCGAAGAAAACAAAAACATTAATTCAAAAAGATATATGCACCCCTATGTTCACTGTAGCATATTTACAACAGCAAAGATATGGAAACAACCCAAGTGTCACTGATGGATGAATGGATAACAAAGATATGATATATACGTACACACACACACAATGTAATACTACACAGCCATAAAAAAGAATGAAATCTGCCCTGGCTGGTTTGGTTCAGCGGTTAGAGCGGTGGCCCATGGACCAAAGAGTCGCGAGCTCGATTCCAGCCAAGGGCACATGCCTCGGTTGTGCTTCGTCCCCAGCCCTCGTTGGGCTCGTGCAGGAGGTAATCAGTTGATGTGACACATTGATGTTTCTCTCTCTGGTCCTCTTTCTCTCTCCCCCTCCCTCCCATTCTACCTGAAGATAAATGGAAAAAATATCCTCTGGTGAGGATTAAAAAAAAAAAAAAAATGAAATCTTGCCATTTGTAACAACAGGAATGGACCTTGAGGGTATTATGCAATGTGAAATAAGTCAGAAAGAAAACACCATATGATCTTACTTAAAAGTGAAATCTTAAAAACAAAACAAATGAACAAACAAATAAAAAAAAAAAACTTACAAATATAAGATTACTGGTTGCCAGAGGAGAGAAGGATTGGGGGGGGGGGTGCAAAAAATAGTCAAGAGATGCAAACTTCCAGTTATAAAATAAGTTGTGGAAATTGAATGTAACAAAATAAAAAGTAACAAAGAAACAAACTCCTTTTTTAACCTACCTCCAGTCTAATAATTAATGAAGACTGCATGTCTGTTCTGTGTGTGTGTGTGTGTGTGTGTTTTACTAATTTTAGAGAGAGAGGAAGGGAGAGGGGAGAGAGAAAGATATCAATGTGAAAAAGAAACATCAATCAGCTACCTCCCATACACACCCAGACTATGACCAAACCCGCAACTGGGGCATATGCCCTGCCGAAGAATGGAACCAGCAACCCTTCCATGCATGGAATGCTCAACCAACTGAGCCACATTGGCCAGGGTGAAGACTGCATTTCTAGAATAATGAAATGCACTCCAAAGAAATCAAGCAGTAGTATACAATTTACAAGGAATTAATAAGTTCATTTACTTTAATGCTTCTGAGGTTTACTCGTTAATAAAAAAAATCTCAAGGTTCTGGTTAACATTCCAATTATGTAAATAATGTCTACAATAAAATTTTTGTAACTCCACAGCAAAAAATATTGAAAAGTGACTTTTTTTTTTTTTTTGGTGGTACGTGCCTCTAGCGGGAACCGAACCCAGAACTCTCTGGTCCGCAGGCCGATGCTCAACTGCTGAGCCAAACTGGCCAGGGAGAGAAGTGACCTTTTAAAAAAATTTTTATTTATTAATTTGTTTTTGTTACAGATGTTTTTTCATGCCCCCCCCCCCATTGACGCCCTCCTCCCCTTCCCCCCCACCCCATCCCCAGCTTTGTTGCCTATGTTCATTGGTCAGGCATACATGCACGTAAGTTCTGTGGTTTATCTCCCACCCCAACCCCTCCCCCTGAGGCTTGTCAGTCTGTACCCCACCTCTATATCTCTGGGTTAATTTGGTTCAGCACTTTGTTTAGTTCATTACATTCCACAAATAAGTGAGATCATGTGATATCTGTCTTTCTCTGCTTGGCTTGTTTCACTTAGCATAATACTCTCCAGGTCCTTCCATGCCATCTCAAAGGATAAGAGATCTTTCTTTTTTATAGCTGCATAGTATTCCACTGTGTACATGTACCACAGCTTTTTAATCCACTCACCTACTGATGGACATCTGGGTTGTTTCCAGATCTTAGCTATTGTAAATAGTGCTACTATGAACATAGGGGTACATATATTCTTTCTGATTGGTGTTTCAGGCTTCTTAGGGTATATTCCTAGGAGTGAGATCACTGGGTCAAATGGCAGTTCAATTTTTAACTTTTTGAGGTAACACCATAGTGTTTTCCATAGTGGCTGCACCAGTCTGCATTCCCACCAGCAGTGTACTAGAGTCCCCTTTTCTCCACACCCTAGCCAACACTTGTTGTTTGATGAGAAGTGGCTTTTTATTCTTTGCTTCGAAAATAAAACTCTACACCAATAATAGAAGAATGGGCTCTAAGATGAATGGTGAAGGCATTTCTGAGAGTAATAATAATAAAAATTTTTTTTAAAATTTAAACAGTATTTTCTGGAATACCAGAATTAAAACTAATGCTCCTGGGTATCACACTACCTGATTTCAAACTATATTGCAAGGCTATAGTAATCAAAACAGCATAAAGACATAGATAAATGAAACAGAATAGAGAACCCAGGAAAAAAACACACCTATGTATGGTCAATTAATATTTGACAAAGGAGGCAAAAACATACAATGCGGTAAAGACCGTCTATTCAATAAACGGTATTGGAGAAATTGAACTGATACATGCAAAAAACAAAACTAGACCACCTCCTTACACCATATACAAGAATAAACTCAAAATGGATTAAAGATACAAATGTAAGACTTGAAACCATAAAACTCCTAGAAGAAAACATAGGTAGTAAAATCTCTGACATTTCTCTTACCAATATTTTTTTCTAATGTATCTCCTCAGGCAAGGGAAACAAAAGAAAAAGTAAACATATGGGACTACACTAAAAAGTTTTTGCACAGCAAAGGAAACCAATAACAAAATAAAAAGACAGCCTCCTGAATGGGAGAACATATTGGCCAATGACATATCTAATAAGTGGTTGATATCCAAAATTTAAAAAGCACTCACACAACTCAAATCAAAAAACCCCAAATAATCCAATAAAAAAATGGCAGAGGACCAAAATGGACACTTCTCCAAAGAGGACATACAGATGGTCAATAGACACATTAAAAGAATCTCAACATCACTAATCATTAGAGAAATGCAAATTAAAACCACAATGAGATATCACCTCATACCTGCCAAAGTGTCTATCATCAATAAATCAACAAACAACAAGTGTTGGAGAGGATGTGAAGAAAAGGGAACGCTCACGCACTGTTGATGGAATATGGATTGGTGCAGCTACTATGGAAAACAGTATGGTGTTTCTCAAAAAATTAAAAATGAAACTGCCTTATGACCCAGCAATTCCACTTCTGGGTATTAATCCAAAGAAACTCAAAACACTAAGTCAAAAGAATATATGTACCCCTGTGTTCATGGCAGCATTATTTACAATAGCCAAGATATGGAAGCAACACAAATGCCCATCAAGAGACAAGTGGATAAAAAAGTGATGTTACAGGCCTGGCCGGTGTGGCTCAGTTGATTGGGCATCATCTGTGCACCAAAAGGTTGCTGGTTCAATTCCCAGGCTCAGTCCCCTGTAGAGGACATACAGAAGGCAGTTGATGGATGTTTCACTCTCACATTGATGTTTTTTTTCCCCTCTCTCTCTCCCTCTCCCTCTCCCTTTTTCTCTCTCTAAGATTCAATAAAATATTTTCTTAAAAAGTGATGGTAATGAAATACTACTTGGTCATAAAAAAAAAAAAAAAAAATTAAATCTTACCATTTGTGACAGAATTAATGGACCTGGATTATACTAAGGGAAATAAGCCAGTCATAGAAAGACAAATACCACATGACCTCTCTTATATGTGGAATGTTAAGAACATAATGAATGAAGAAAAAAAATTGAAACAGACTCATAGATACGAAGAACAGACTGACGGTTGCTGGTTGAGGGACTGGGTGAAAAAGATGAAGGGATTAAAAAGTACAAATTGGTAGTTACAAAATAGTCATGGGGATGCAAAGTACAGCATAGGGAATACAGTCAATAACATTATAATAACTATGTATGATGCCAGGTAGATACTGGAAATATTGGGGGAAACATTTAATAAAGTATATTATCTAACCATGAAACTAATACAAAATAATATTGAATGCAAACTGTGACTGAAAAATAGTATTTTAAAAAACAAAACTAATGTTCCTGAATAATCATCTGTTTTAATAATTCTTGTTATTCTCTGGCCAGTTTGGCTCAGCGGTTGAGCGTAGGCCTGCAGACCAGAGAGTCCCGGGTTCAGTTCCCGCTAGGGGCATGTACCACAAAAAAAAATAATAATAATAATTCTTGTTATTGTAACTCATTGATGAAATTAGCAGACAAAGCCATAATAATATCCAAATAACAGTTTACAAGCATAAATACTCAAAAGAACACAGCTTAAAACTTTACACAACACAGGACTAATAACAAGGTAGGTAGTTACACTTTTAAAGTTCATACCACAAAACATAAAAGTCAGAAGCTGACCTTTATTCAGATAATCCACAAAAATATAAGGTTTAAAAACAGCCTGGACGAGATTCCAAAATGGCGGCGGAATGAACGGAAGCTACACATACCATCTCCCGGAACCAGACTGGAATTACAACTATAACACAGACAAATCGATGGGAAAAACCAATAGAAAAGCAGCTTGCGAGGACTGCATAACCAGGGACACTGACTCGATCCTGGTAGGCTTGTGAAACGGGGACTGGGAGCCCACAGTCAGCAGCTCAGCA